CAAATCCCAAAGAAGTTCTTACCTAAATCAAACTACATTCTCAGATTTCATCATCCATTTTCACACATAGAATTGCAACTAAACCTACACATCATAAGATTATTGAGGATGGAAAAAAAATAGAAATGCTAATTGGAAAAAATATACAACGACTAGAAAATCGTTACTTTTTAAGTGGGAAATAAAGAGAAAAAATTATGGATGCAGGAAATAAAGAACCAAGAAGTACATTGATATTAAGGAAAGTCAACAAAAGTCAACAAGAAAGAAATATGGCATGTAGCCTTAGAAACGTGGTGTGTTCCTTGATCTGTGTGACACGTCGGTTGATCCGGGTGGCAACACACATGGCAGGAGCTGGCGACACATGGTAGGAGTTGGGACTATAACACTATACGAAGCTAACGCTTGGCAAGGGTGCGATGCGTCCCTTTGGAGGGTGTGTCATGCAGACACGTGACGACCCCCATAAGCACTTTGAACCCGTATTTCGTTGTACGCTTTTTTGATGAGAACTCCGAGCACTTAAGCGATGCGGTATAATTTACAAGAGTATGTATTAATGTCAATATACAAGGATTCGATTATAAAGAGATATAAAGTATTCTCTCGTCCCGTTATTTCATATTTATAGTTATGTAACTTCGTTACGATAAGATTGTTAGAACCCGAGTTGGATAGTCAAGTTTATAATATGGTGTTATTGTGAACTCAACAATAATTTTGACATTTGAATTCAATGGTGGAATTCTTAATCTGGTCGGCAAGGTTTATAAATCCTAAGTTACGAGATGATCATATGTGAGTGATCGAGCTTACGGCTTACAAAGTTAAGTCGTTTAGTAGTCGTAGTATGGGACTTGATGAGTATGGTAACATATGGTTGTCAGGTTAGTTAGTGGTCAATCAAAGGATCACAAGGAACTTGTATAAACCCACTTTTATAACTACTATATTGATCATTTGATTGACCACTAACACTCGGTATGTTGTATGAATAGGATTGGATAAGGTGATAAGTGTAAAGCAGCACAAGGCTTCAAGTCGTGACAATAGTTAGTCTTCATTAACTAGTCAGGTGAGTACATGCGAATTTTCTAGATACATAGCAAAGTAATTGGTTTTATGTGAAAAGTGTGAATATGTCACTAGGTGTGACTAGGGGTGTAAACGACCCGAGCCGAGCCCGAGCCTGGCCAAGCTCGAGCTCGGTTCGTTTAATTTTGAATAAGCTTGAGCTCGAGCTCGATTCGAGCCTTAAAATGAAGCTCGGGCTCAGCTTGTGAACAATTTGGTGAGCTCGCGAGCCTAAACGAGTTAAAACGAGCCTATATATATATATATATATATATATATATACACACACACACAATAACACACACACGCACACACACACACACACACACACACACATATATATATATATATATATATATAGGCTCGTTTAAGCTCGTTTAGGCTCGCGAGCCCACTAATTGAATCTTAGCTTGAGCTCGTTTAATAAACGAGCCTCATATTTAGGCGCGAGCTCGGATCGGGATCATTTAATTCGATCTCGAGTCGAGCTTTTAACGATTCGATCCCGAGTAGCTCACGAGTAGCTCGGCTCACTTACACCCCTAGGTGTGACTATGCTTGATCATATGAAAAACGTTTTATTGTTAAAAGTTTCATAACATAAATCGTTGTCTTCCTCGGTTAAGGAAAAAGGGAATTATAAATTATATAATGAAAGTTCCAACTTGTATGCTATATGATTAGAAGGTTAGAGCTTTGGTTAAGCTCGACAATCACATAATTGGTTATTTGATGAGTATAGCAACAACCTATATGTGAATTGTTATTGTGAACTCTATAAAGAGTTGCTTGGGTAAAAAGCCTATATCTGACTATATGTTAGAAGCTTTATGGAAAGTTGTTTGTGAAAAAGGGCATAAAATGCTTGTAAGTGATTGGGATAGAGTAAAATAAGTTAGTGAACTGAAAGTCTGAAGCTCTAGAGAGTGTGTGTGTGTGTGTGTGTGTAAGATGAAATAAGTTTGAAGCTTTATAGAAATCGTTAAGTGAATGGAAGTTTGAAGCTCTATAGAGAGCGTTGAGTGAATGGAAATTGGAAGCTCTATATAGAGTGTTTGGGAAAGGCTTAGATTGCATTACGTGTTGTGGATGGAAGCTTGTGTCAGCCACCAAGGAGGACTCCACGTAGATAGTGAGTTGACAAGGACTCCACTCAAAATTGAGATAGGTTGTGTTGCCAGGAAGTCTATAATTGAACTAGAGAAGGTTGTATAATCATTTTCTTTTTTACTATAGTTTTTGATATTTTTGTAACACTGAAATTGAGATAGGTTGTGTTGCCAGGAAGTCTATAATTGAACTAGAGAAGGTTGTATAATCATTTTCTCTTTTACTATAGTTTTTGATATTATTTTGTAACACTGAAATTGAGATAGGTTGTGTTGCCAGGAAGTCTATAATTGAACTAGAGAAGGTTGTATAATCATTTTCTCTTTTACTATAGTTTTTGATATTATTTTGTAACACTAAAAGCTGTTAATTCTGATAATGATTTGAAAGTTTTAGTAAAAGCACGTTTTTATTGGTAATAAATGGTGTTTTAAAAGTACGGTGTTTTATTGGTAATAAATGGTGTTTTAAAAGTACGGAAGCACGTTTTTATTGGTAATAAATGGTGTTTTAAAAGTACAGTGTTTTATTGGTAATAAATGGTGTTTTAAAAGTAGGGTGTTACAAAATCACACCAACTAAACACAAATAAGAAAAATCACATATGTTAATTGGAAAAATCGCACCAACCTAAACACAAATCGAAAAAATCACACATGCTAATAGAAAATATCAATACTGTTAAGGATCAAAATCAAGATGCTAGTTGAAGAAGACGAAGATGGAGGAGGGTTTGCGATGGTTTTCTGGTGTCGTACCACGTATTCTTCATGATTTCTACAACTCTAAACCCCTAACGATTTGGGCTTTTTAGGTTCATCTAGTTTAAGTACAAGGATTGTAATAATGGAAGAATATGACGACACCTGCTTAGGAATGAGGTCTCACATATGAAGAGATTCGTGTTGTAAGAATCATGAAAGAACAGGAAGAATACTCGCTTGAAAGATAGATGAATGCTCAAAGAAAGGTGTTTTGAGTTACAACTAGAAGTCAGAACATACCTAATCAGGATGAGCAGGCGGAGTGGCGACGTGTTTGGGTTTTCTCTTCGGTGCTTTCCAGCCAACGAGAATTAAATGAACAACGGAGTGTCGAAGTATGTAAATTGGAAAGTGGAAATGGAGAATGCAAATTGGAAAATGGAGGGCATGGAAGAACAAATTGAGACTAAGGTTACGTGACGTACATTTGGAGGGTTGGGTACTTGGGCTTCACTTCACGGTTCACTACACAAAGGATTGGGCTGGGTGATTAAACGAGTTTGTGGGTTTTAAATTTGTACTATTTATATATAAAAAATAATATATAATAAAACAAAATACAAATACATTAAAAAAAAAATTTATAAATATAAATCCTACGGTCCGATCCGGTTTTATACGACTTGAAAATTTTAAAACCGTAAGCCAAACCGTTCATTACGATTTGAAAAGTTTGAAGCCGCAAGCCAAACTATAAAAAGAAATACAAACAACAAAACCAAACCGACCACCGATTTGACTGCTTTTATGTTTTCAAATCGAACGGGAAACACCCTCCTTTGGATGTACATTGGTGTATATTTTATTATGAGACAGAGAGACGTACTTTCATTTATATTCTATTTATTTTCGAAAACCACGAGGAAATGAAATAAAAAAAAGAGAAATTAAATTACTTCCTACCTTTTATGCCTACAATTATTCCTACCCACTAAAATTATGACAAATCACCATTCAATTTAATTTTATTTGATATATTCCTAATATAGCCTTAATGAGTTAGGAATGATGACACTTGTCATAATTTTATTAGGTAGGAACATTTGTAGGCATAAAAAGTAGGAAATCCTCCTATTTACTCTACAACTACAATCCTGATTCTTGATAGGAGCCCTAGTTCTTGAATAACAGTGATTGCTCTGGCCCTTGACGAACCGGCTGCTGCTGCTGCTTATCAGGTAAATCCTCCTATTTGTTTTGCATCTTGTTGGCTGGTTTGGTGGATGTAATTGGAGGCATAAACTACAGCGATCGACTAAGCTCGAAATTACAAGATTGGGTTTTTCTTATAAGTTTGGAATTCTCAATGACGTCTGTCTGTCTTGATTTTGGGGGTGTTTGGGATTACTTTTTAAGCCTAAAAGTTTTTTTTGTAAAAGTTCTTTTTATAAAAAGTTCTTTTGAGGAAACAAAAGCCAAAAATGGGTTTTAAAAAGTGTTTGGGTAGTATTTTTTTTACTTTTGAGTGTGATTTAGCTTTAAAAGTCCAAAAGTTACAAAAAGTCACACTTTCTTGACTTTTGAAAACTCACTCTTTCCTTCTTTACAAAAAGTTATTTTGAAAAGAACTTTTGCATCTTCCAAACATCTTTATAACTTTTCAGAAGAGTTAAAAGACAAAAGTCATTTAAAAAGTATTCCCAAACACCCTCTTTGTTTGTACCGATACGAAGAGAAATTTTGAAACCTTTTGTGGTTTCGACCCGACACGATGAGAAATTTGAAAACTTTTTGTGGTTCTGAAGCGATACAAAGAGAAAATTTCGAAACTTTTTGTGGTTTTGAACTGATAGGAAGAGAAATTTTGAAACTTTTTGTGGTTTTGAACAGATATGTAGAGAAATTTTGAAACTTTTTTGTGAATGAATGTTCGTCTGTCTTGATTTCGTTTAGAGAAATTTTGAAACTTTTTGTGGTTTTGAAGAGATTTAAAGGTATATATTTTGGATGGTGTTTGAAGGAATGAGACGAGAAGTAGAAGATGTTGTGGAGTTGATGCAGCATATATAATCACGGTTGCCGATAACAGAAGCGGCCCGCACGAGCGTGATGTCCAAATCATGGCTACACGCGTGGCGTACCATCCCTACCCTCAGGTTTCGTGTGCGCAGCGAACAAAATGGAAAGAGCATGAAGTTGGTGGACGTGGACCACACTCTGATAAGGTATCTCCATGACAACATACCAATCAAAAGGTTTGGGCTTCTTATCGACATTGAGAACCAGGAGTCAGCTTCTCATGCTGAAAAATGGATTGGTTCTGTGGTGACAACCAAAGCTTCTTGTCTCAAAGAGTTATCCCTCTCACTCTACCTTTATGGTGCCCCGTTTACATTTCCAGATGAGATACTCTCGTCGGATGAAAACCTGACTAAGATAGAAGTTTTCTCTCCGCTTAGGCGCCATTCTGTTGTTTGGATGACAACGACTACTCATGTGATCAACTGTGTGTCCCTACGAGAACTTGAATTGTTTGGTGTGCGTATAGGTGAAGAGGCACTCAATCACATATTCTCGTCTTGTAGCTTGCTTGAGACGATTGTGCTTATAGATTCTTGCAAGGGGCTCAAAACCATCAAGGTTAAAAACCTCCCGTGTCTTTATGAATTGACAATATCCTCAGAATATGATGATTATGATGGATATATTGCTTTGGAAATCAGTCATGTCCCAAATCTTGGGGTGTTTAGCTGCGATTTACATATATCTTTTCCTATCAACGATTTAATATCATTAGGAAGCAGCGTGACAAAGTTAAGGCTAGGTGGTTATGGTATGGTAAGAAGCAACGCGTGTCTGAAAATGATCGAATCGGGATTTCCTTTTCTCGAGAGTTTGACACTTGATGATATGACATCTTGGAAGTCGGAAAGCTTCCATTTCACATGTGCTTCCATCAAGAAATTGTCCCTGAAGGAGTGCCTCTCCATGCTTACGGACGTACAAGTTCATGCACCAAAATTACAATTTTTCTGGTTTCATGGGGTCGCATTGCCTCCTACTCTCTTGTTTCCGGACTCTACTCTCTTCAAGAAAATAATTGTTTCACTCAAACTCAACTCTCCTGTTGATGCTTATTTTTTCTTGAAGATGAGGGAAGCACTCGCGTTATCACGCAAGTGTGACATTTATATAACAACTTACAACTATACTACTACTATGATGCCATTGGACATCGACATGGATGATCTAAGAACAAGGCTCCTCATGTTTCCTCCTGCTACCAACGTGCAAAAACTCGAGTTTGAAGCAATAGAGGATGAATGCCTGTGGGAACGATCCCCATTTTTTGATGCCTTCTTTGAGATTTGCCATCCCAAGCATGTAGTTGCAAAGCCAGACGCATGCTTAAGACAAAAGAATCACTTTTGCAGACTCATGCTGAGGGATTTCTTGGAGAAGAAGACGACAACCACCACCACCACCACCCCGTATTGGCCTCACCACCTCAAACACGTTCAAATAAGAAGGAATCCTTATGAAAAATGGGAAACCCTGACAGATTCCCACAGAAGCTTTCTAGACGCGACTCCTGGTGTCTTCATGCACTTCTATCTAAACTGGCATTAATTACTTAACCAACATGCTTTGCTTTGGTTATTTCTTTTATTTTACATTAGTACAATAAATATTAAATCAAGCAATAGATTAGTAACCGTTTTTTTATCAAAACCGGATGTAGTACACGTTTCCTTTAATCTAGCTTGCATAACCTAAAAGTTTTCGATAATTCCATTTTTGTTTGAAATTTTATTAGTAAGACAAAAATGTAAAAATGGTCCTTGGGAAAATAAGCCACCTAAAGTAAATTACTATTATTTGTAAGAAAATGGAAGTGCATTGCTATAATAGATGAAAACTAAACCTCAAGTACGAACCAAATTTTTAACTATGCTCAGGGACCAAAAGTATAATTTACAAAAAAAAAAAAAAAAAAAACAATCAATTTTGTTCAATATCCGGCATCTATTTTAAAAAACTAACGCGATATGCTTAAATATTGTTCAAACTCCAACAGGCCCTGGTTGGCTTAATCTTGTAAAAATCCAATTTGTCTTGATAACCAATAGGTTGAAATTAATACCAATCCGCACATTTTCTTAATGGATTCATCTATTAGAAATCTAGTGATAAAAACTTGTAAACCCTTGTACCACACGTAATTGTTAGAAAATTAGGATATAAAATTTAATTTTTGACAAATAACCATTCAAATTGCTTTACATGTAATATAAAAAAATTAACCAAGTGAAATGAAAACCACATTAAAGCTTTAAGGTAATTAGGGGTGTTCGTTTGGATGGATCGGTTTGATCCGATCCAATTAAATGAATTTTAATTGATTTCGGTTTTCAAATCATAGATACAAATAATCCAAACTAAATTGAAATCCGATACAACCAAATTACAATTAAGTTTCATCGGTTTTTAAAACCCGAAACAATTTATAACTACATATAATTAGAAAATTATCTAATTTTATAGAAGAAACAGAAACAAATTATTTAGTTGTGGTTTAATATTTATAAACAACTACTAAAAATATATTCCAATTTAATATTTTATAGATTAAAAAAAAAGTTTTAAGAATTTATGCAAATTAAGGTTTTTTATTAGGTAAATTTTTTGGTTATTTCTTATCAAATGGGAAACCCCGACAAATTCCTACAGAAGCTTTCTTGACGGGTTGACTCCTTGTGTCTACATGCACTTCTATCTAACGTGGCATTAGTTTTTTTGGTTATTTCTTTTATTTTTTCATGTTTTCGTTCTCGTATGTATGTGTTTGTGTTTATATATATATATATATATATATATATATATATATATATATATATATATATATATATATATATATATATGAGAGTTCAATTGAGAAAAAAAAAGGTTGAGAATGGGGGAACCATTCTCAGCCAATCATTTAATGAGCTTAAAAAACGCACAGTGACAAACTTGTAAATAATCCAAATACATTAATGAGCGGTGGCAAATTTGTCTTCGACTCCAGCAATATCTTCGTCTCTAATCTACACATCACCACTACATCTCTCATCCTACCACATAAGCAACCGTGAATCTGGGTCACGAAATCCACTTGATGGCGACGATCTGGCACCGCCGTCAGATGAGACGATTTAGCACCACCATTGCAGATCCAACTCCAATTAGGGTTATCGTCACCATCTCAGACAACGACGACCTCGAACTTCATCTTTGTCCTTCTCCGACGACCGCTAAGAGAAAATAAGCAGCGTTACAGGGATCGATTTCCATGGCAACCACTAGTGTAATGGGAACATAATGTGAAGTTGGAGTAGGAGCAGATGACGGCGCTGGCGATGAAAAACCACCACATTGTAGCTTCCTACAATCAACAGGACCAACATTTCTAGAGGAACACTCCCCCACCAGCCAAAGTATCATGTTTTTAACATTTTTAAAAAAGTTAACCTGTATGCACTCCAACTGTTTGATGAAATGCTTAAACTAAATTACCACGTTATATTCACATATGAATATATTTTTTCACCTGAATCAGTATATGATTATTAAAACAAAAAAAATATATATGCAAGTCTGTATGTTATTCATATGTGAATAACATATAAAAATTATATATATTTGTGAAAACACCTTGTAATATTCATATGTGAATATACTGTGTAATATTCAGAAGTGAATATATCATCTAATATTCACAAGTGAATATACTATGTAATACCCACATGTGATATACCATGTAATACTATGTAATATTTACATGAAAATATCATATAATATTCATAAGTGAATATACCATCTAATATTCACAAGTGAATATACTATATAATATTCACAAGTGAATGCATCGCCTAATATTTAAATATGATTATACTATGTTTTATTATATATTATCTTCATATATGAATGATACTTAAATTGTAAAAAAAAAATTATCATATTTTTTATTCATAAGTGAATAACGAATGTATTGTAGTAAAAAATCTGATGCATTTTTATTCACTTATGAATAACGATAGCTGAAAATATAAAAAAAAAATATTTTTTTTAATTTATCTTAAAACTATATCAATATGGATGTCTATTTGTAGAGAATAAAAAATCATGAATTTTGGTATATTTAAAATCATTTTCGATAAAAATAGCTTCTTAAAAATTAAAAAAAAAACGAAAAAAACTATGTTTTGTATATATATTAAGGTAATGATTAGCATAGTTTAAGGAAACATGTTTTGTTGGAAAACACATGTCTATTCCTTTCTCATTTCCGCTGATACGACGGAGGTTTTTGTGGCAAAAATAAATGAGTGACTGAGAATGATTCCCTCATTCTCAACCTTTTTTATTTTCTGAATTGAACTTACCTATATATATATATATATCTATATTATATATATATATATATATAATATATATATATATATATATATAGGCCTAGTTATTCTATTCAAAGTAATTATTGTGTTATTGTATGCATAAATGTGGGCCAATCATTTTACTTATTTTAAGAAAGTGATTAATACATATTATTTAATTAAATATAATTGAAAATTATCATCTAATTTAACTAGAAGGGTATTTTAGTCAGTTAACATAGATTTAATAAAGGAAATTTGCATATATTAAGGGATCAAAGATTCTATTAATTTTAAAAATTCGATTTTACAAATTATAAGGTTTTTAGTTCGGACATTCTGACAGAATATGTTTGAGTATGTTCAAAAATAACAAAATTTTTTGTAGAATAACAAGATTCTCGAACCATCAATTGAAGAATTAAAATAAAAATTACATTAATTCTTATAGAATATATGTAACAATTGCTAAGAATTACATTTATTTTTAAAGAATAAAACTAAAAAAACTTTCGAATCTAGAAAAAAGAACATCAAAATCTAATAAAAACACTAATATATTCTAAAAGAATAATGTTGCTAAGAGGCGTCGTTCAAATTTTGTGGTCCGTTCTTCAAGCATCAGCTTCTGTAGAAACAAATACAATGAATAAATTAGTGAGAAAATATCCATACTTCATTCCAACATAATTGGAATTCGTGATTCTATTCTGATAGAATTGGAATTCATTTACCAATAATTATATTAATTCGGGGAATTCTAACAGAATATGTTCATGATTATCATAAAAAACATTCTTTTCTGATAGAATGCTATAAACGAAGAAATACCATTCAGTTGGAGCATTTTAGCGAGCACTTGGTGTGCATGCAAACAACTTTCAATTCAGTTGAAGCATTCATCTGTCAAATAAGCAACCAAAACAACCATGATTTGTATTCAACCAATCAAACCCAAAAACTCATCTAAACCTATCGATTAAACTTCATCGATTTACAGTAAATCAATCAAAATAAGAAAGAATATTAAAGAAACCTGTGATTATCCAGCCAACAACAACCCTTTGTTTTTTCTTCTGCTTGCCCATTGATTTCACAGCCTCAATCCAAACACCCATCTGATTTCGGTTCTTCTTCCCTGCCTCCACCGAACCATTGATGCATTTTGTCGAATGTTTTATGTGCGTGATTATACCTCAGAAAGCTGGATTGGAAAATTGGGTTTGTCATCAGTGGTTTATGTGAGTTTTGAATTATCATTCGAAATCAATTGCAGATCTAAATCAATTACGAGTCAATTTCAACTACGAAAAGTTTCATCAATGAGATCAATTATATGTAACATTGATAATTTGAAAAAAGAAAAGTATCAGGAGCTAATTTTTGATTTGGCTTTGACGCTCCCTTGCCGATAAAACGAAAAGATAAACCCTAACCTGTCCTTTGACTTTCGAATTGATATCAGTATTGGTCTCTGGTCGGATTCTTGTCTTCCTCGTTCGTCATTCCCTTTTGTTGTGATCGAAGAGGGTAGTTGTGGTATCGTCGGAAACGATGGCTGTGAGGAAGGAAGTGGGTAGTCATGGTGGTCGTATGCTATGAAGATGATGGTGTGGTTATCGGCGATGAAGATGATGGTGGTGCTCAGCAACCGAAAAAACAGGAATATGGTGGTGGTCGTCTGGTAAATTTTGTGGGTCGATGTTTCTATACGGTGGAATCGGAGGAACGAGGGGTTTGTTCAATTTAGGGTTTTCAGAATCGGTTTTTAGATAAAGTGGGGAACGAGATTTAAACTGGAGAGATGTCATGATTATAGGGATTATTTTTGGAAGTTATTAAACAAATGACTAACTTACCCTTATTTATTTATTTTATTATTTAATTTTGATTGGTCCACATTGATGCATACAATAACACAATACTTAGTTAAAACACTTGAACATATCTCTCTCTCTCTCTCTATATATATATATATATATATATATATATATATATATATATATACACACACACAACACACACACACACACACACGTATAAGGATGTGTAAGGCCATGCTTAGGATCTTTTGGAAAATTCTACAAATCTATTGGTAAGATGCTTGTTATTGGTATTACTCATTTAACTATCAAACACATATTAGAAAACATACATTTTATTAATTGTAAAAACACATTCTCTTAAATGTCCTTTTATGTAATTTTATATATT